ACCTAATCGATCAACATTACAGGTAATGGTGAAGATAGCTCCTGGTGGAAGAAGCCAGAGGAAGGAATCATGAAAATAAATGTTGATTGAGTTGTGGATGTGAGAAGAGGGAAAAGAACTTGAGCATGGGCGGCCCGCGACCACGACATAAGCGGACATTTATATTTGGGGCCGGGCAATGTAAGTCATTGTAAGTGGACACATATGTTCAAGTGATCATTTCGAAATTGCAGGAAGACGAGGAAAGATCCTATTTTGATCCTATTTTGATCTTATATTTGGTGATATATATTTGGTGATATATATTTAAATATATATATATAGAGATTTGGCGAAACAAAAAATCTAGTTGATTTTGGCGGCTCAGATTTTGAACAGATTTTGATGTTTAGTTGATTTGGCGGCTCAGATGCCGCCAGCGGAGGGGTTCGCGCTAGCGGCGGGCACATCGTACGCAGCGGCGGCAAGGGGTCCCATCTCCGGCCACCGTTTTCAATCTCAACCCGTCTCTTTCTCCGACGTTGACTTACAGAGTCTACAAGCAAATTGCGGACGATTCAAAGGCTTCCCAGCAGTAAATTTCTCTGACTCCGCCATCCAGGTACTATCGGAAAACTACCGTTTCGCTTTGGTTGGGACTTTCCCTTATGGCCGGCCTCCCCTTCACGCGATTCGGAAAGCCATGGCGGCTTTAGGGTTCTCTCATCCATATTCCGTTGGACTTCTCCAATCTCATTCGATTCTTTTTAATTTCCAATCAGATTCTGATTTTCAACGTTTTTGGATTAAAAAATCTTGGGATTTCTATGGATGTTCGATGAGCCTTACAAGATGGACTCCATCTTTCTCTGTTAACAGCGATTCTCCTCTAGCGCCGGTTTGGGTGGCCCTTGAAGGTTTGCCGGTTCACCTACACGACGCTAGGGCACTTTTCCTCATAGCTGGGCTTTTGGGAAGACCTCTTATTATTGATTCCCCTACTGCAAATTTCTCTAGACCCTCTACTGCCCGAATTTGTATTGAAATTGACATTTCGAAAGCTCTACCATCTAAAATCTGGATTGGAAATGGTGAAAATGGTTATTTTCAATCTGTCCATTACGAAAAGTTACCTGTTTTTTGCACTTTCTGTTCTCGATTTGGCCACAATAAATTACACTGTCCCAGGAAAGCCCCTGCTGTTTTTGAAGCCCCTGATGTTGGCCTTGTGACTGAGAATGTTGATAAAGCCATTGCTGCCACAGCTACAACTATTGAGGCTCCTGTTAATGCCCCAGTTTCTAATGCTCAAGTTGATTCCCAGATTATTGCCCCACCTGTTGATGCCCCTATATTGACTAAGAATGTTGATAAAGTTGTTGATGCTCATGTTTCAGCTCTTGAACCCTTTGTTGATGCCCAGATTATTACCCCAACTGTCATTGATGCTCAGGATCAAACAGTTTGTGCTTTGAATAACCAACCCCCGGTTATAAGCCAAACTACAGTGGTCTATTCACATGAGAAGGTTGCATATGATGATTGTGTTGCCCCTACTATCCGTGAGAATGTTGAGCATGAAAAGGTTGCGTGTGATGAGTTGGTCAGTGATGAAGTAGCCTGTGATGATCATGTCTATGTTGAAGTTGCTGCCATTCACGCTTCTGAGACTCAAAATGGTTACGAGGTCCAATTAATTAACCGTTTTGACTCCTTAAATCAAACCTTGGAATCTGGAAATGAGGAACTGTCTTCTGATCCATCGATACATGATTCATCTCCAAGAACTGTCCCTCACATTCCAGTTGCCTCCCCTAATCAGGCCGGGGTACTTGAAGCTAACCGGTCCCGTGATGAAACTCTTCCTGAGGACTTTTCACCTGTTACTCAACCTGAGGACTTTTCACCTGTTACTCAACCTGAGGAGGTAGACTGCCCAGATGGGTTTAAGCAAGTTACGACAAGAAGAAACTTAAAGAAGAGCTCCACCAAGTTCCAAAATGACAACCAAGAAGACCCACAACTATACTATGAAGTGGGCTGGACTTCACACCCAATGATCACAAGAAGTCAATCGCGGAAACCACAAAATGATAATGACTATTTCCTTTACCCGGTAGACGCGAGGTTCGACTCACCCCACAAACTCGCTCAAGCTCTCAAGCGCTTCAAGTCATCCCACCCGGAGGCAGTTGTCTACCAACCTTATCTTCAGAAGGCGATAAAGTTTCACAATAAATATAATAGGTCCATCTCAGCTTCAGTTGGGATACCTTCTAAGAATTTTAATTGTTAATGCTTTCTTTTTCTCTTTTGTATTTTTCCAACTTTCTTTTGTATTTCCTTTCCATAATAAATTAAGGAAGTGTTCCCCGGCACTTCCTCCACCATGAGTGGTTTACTCCGGGAATCAAAAAAAAAAAAAAAAAAAAAGAGTAGTCTTCTTGTCCAGCCGGCCTGACGGGAACCGCCGTCCGGCCGAGGGCATTTCGGGCACTTCTCGATGGAATTTTTTGATGAAATTTTTTGAGCATGTTCTTCATTAAGTCTAGTTTATCCATACCAAATTTCAGCTCAAAATTCGATCGGGAAGGCATTCAAATAATTTTGTGAAGTTAACTGGGCAGTTTATATGTATGAACTGCCCAGTTAACTTCAAGAAATTATTTGAGTGCCTTCCCGATTGAATTTTTAGCTGAAATTTGGTATGGATAAACTAGACTTCATGAAGAACATGCTCAAAAAATTTCATTAAAACATTCCACCGGAAAGTGCCCGAAATGCCCTCGGCCGGACGGCGGTTCCCGTCAGGCCGGCTGGACATGAAAAGTTGTCTATATATATATATATATATATATATATATATAGAGAGAGAGAGAGAGAGAGGACTGCTCAGGTCCAGCCGGAGGGACGGGAGCAGCCGTCCGAACTCCGCCATTTGGGGCGGTTCCCGGTGGAATTTTTCGATGAAATTTTTTGAGCATGTTCCTCATTAAGTCTAGTTTGTTCATACCAAATTTCATCTCAAAATTCGACCGAGAAGGCAGTCAAATAAATTCTTGAAGCTTACTGCACATTCTGCGCATATATAAAGTGCAGTAAGTTTCAAGAATTTATTTGACTGCCTTCCCGGTCGAATTTTGAGCTGAAATGTGGTATGGACAAACTAGACTTGATGAGGAACATGCTCAAAAAAATTCATCAAAAAATTCCACCGGGAACCGCCCTAAATGGCGGAGTTCGGACGGCGGCTGGACGAGGGAGGGAGGGACCTGAGCATTTCTGTATGTATATATATATATATATATATATATATATATATATATATATATATATATATATATGTAGGGAACGGTTCCGGTGAGAACACCCTCTTAGGAGAGTAAAAAAGATTAAAATCCAAGCATTCAATAATGTAATCGTGTGGCTAGGATATGACTTGTCCCAATTAAAAAATGGCACATGATGTGCACGTGGTAGGATTAGATTGAGAAGATTCGTATTGCACTAATGACATGAGGGCATTAATGTAAAATATTTAAAATTGGTTAGGACGCATGAGTGTATAAATGGAAAGCTGCTCTACAAATTAGGCTATTAATTAATACAAAGTGGCTCCATTATAGTTAGCACGGTTCATTCTAATAAATATTTGACTTTCTTTCCAAACTTGATATTTGCTCTCATGTAATTCACTTAATTAATTTAAAAACTCTATTAATCTTTTGCATGATTATTTGTATTTAATCTTTTTCATTTCAGATGCAATATTTCGTAATTTGTCAATCTGCACTCCAATGTTGAATAGACGCACTTTTATTCAAAGCTTTATGCACAACCAATTCCATTAAATGTTTATTTCATACTTGTTATGTGCATTTCAAATATAAATCAAAGTGCACTATTATATCATACTTTGTAAATTTTTACGTTAGCACTTTCTTACAAAGTGAAGTGCACTTTTATCGTGTTTGTTTTAAATATATGCAAAAGTACACTACCATATCATTCAATTGGAATGTCACGTTGACATATTTTTTTTACAAATAAATGCACTTTTTCCTTCAAAAGTGTTACTATTATCTGATTATGACATTGTCTTTTTTTGAACCTGCAGATATCTACAAAAAAGTAAACTAAAATCATATAAAGTGCATCAATAAGGTATAATCAGTGCATCAAATTAAAATAATCTGAATTATGTTGTGCACTTAAATATGAGTTGTCATGCATTTTTCAATAAACATGAAATCAATTCTTATACACATGGTCCTACATCTTTGTTATATATACATAAATAAAAAAAGTCTCGCATTAAAATAAATAGGATAAGAAATACAAAAGCTAAATAGAAAATTGATATTTGTAGAAACACAAAAGTAAATATCACAAAAATAAATAAAACATATGATATAGTATAAAACAAAAAATGATGAAATGATAAATAAAAAGGTAAACTAAATGTGAATGAACATAAGTGGTGATAAAAGAATTCACTTTAGTGAATTATTTGAGTGGAGATAAAATAATTTGATAAGAATATGTAATCATAATTAATGGAAACAATCCGTTAGCCTCAGAAGTCTCATATTTGCCAAACGGTTCAAATAAGGGAAGTAATCAAAATGACTTTTGTGGCCTTATACGAATTACTTCATTAATTAAAATGCTAGTTAATCCAAGGGCTCACAACTATTCTTTTTTACTCTCCTAAGATTAAGTTCTCACATGAACCTAAATCTATATATGTATATATATATATATATATATATATATATATGTATATATATATATATATATGTATATATATATATATATATGTATATATATATATATATGTATATATATATATATGTATATATATATATATAAAACATTTCCTTCATTCAATTCTGAAGAACATATATATCTATTATTTAATGTAAAAATCTATGAATTGTGTAGCTCGTACTTTAACTAGACTTGTCCATTCTAAGGCGGGTGGAAGGGTGTTTCTTTATCATGATATTTGTATTTTGAGCCTTTTTTTATAATTATTTTGAGCTTTTGGCGAATGATTCTCTACATTAATGAAAATATTTTTACAGTAAAAATATAAGATAAATCGTAAATTGTAAAATAAATAAGGAATTGGTCTCTACGTACGTAATTCTAAGATGTAACTTACCTTCGTTTTCTCCTACTACGTACCCTTCTTCTTCAATTCTTCATTCTCTCTTCTGCAAGAAGCAAGGCACAGTCAAATATAAGGTACTCCAAACCCAAAAGGACTCTATATTCTTTAAAATAGCAAAGCAATTATTGTAATTGTAATTCTATACAATATTTGATATATGATACTCCGTACTATATATAGCAAGGTAATTACTATATTCGTAAACTTGATTAGGCCTGCATATCGGATTGCTAATAATTCCTTGATTCAATTATGCACCTCGATTGACGTACGGCGAGGTATTTAAATTTTGATGAGGCAAGGAAGCTCTAAATTAATTCATTCATTCCCTTCAGTATATATATAGTTTTATAAATAATCAACAACATTATTAATTTGCCGGCCGGTCTAGGCCGTGGTGATCGCACGTCCGTTTTCAAGGACAATTAATTAACGTTCAGGTTAATAAAATATGGAGGAGGTTCATCGTTCCGCCGCCGCCGCCGCCGAAGTCCGGAAACTTCACATAATCTATTTTATTAGCCGGAAGGGCCGCACCGAACACCCACATCTCTTCCGAGTCCACCATCTCTCCCGCCACGGTGTCCACCTCCGAGGTTCGTAACAATTGAAAATATCAATTAATCACGTGTTTATATGTACTTTTTTGGTCAGCTCCGATTGTTTTTGCTATGTATTTTGAGTACGAATTTCTTTTCATTGTCGATCTAGTGTGATTTTTGCAATTATAAAATATTTGGAAAGTAGATTCTAAATATGTAAATTGTGATTAATAAAATTAATTTAAATATTAAGATAAGCGTTCTAATTTTATGATTAGTTGACCTCACAAATTGTTTTACAAATTGTAAATTGCAAATCAATATTAATCTTACGGTTAGGACGCATGATTTATTATTGATGTGTTTATGTTAGAAATAAATATTAATCTCCCTGCGAATAAAAGTATGGAGTACAATTTATAAAATCAAAAACGGTACATCTTTACATTATTTGTACTGCATATTGAAGTTCAAAGTGTTGCATATTATTTGTACCGCATATTAAAGTTCAAAGTTTTGCATATTGTTTTTATTGCATATTGAAATTCACAGTGTGCATCTTTACATTATTTGTACTGCATATTGAAGTTCAATGTGTTGCATATTATTGAGTTAGTAAGTTAGTATTTTAAGCATGGTTAGTATATGATCTCTTATCTATATATATATATATATATATATATATATATATATATATATATATATATATATATATATATATAAGAGGAACTTTTTAAGAGCATACGACGCGCCACATAATCTTGTCATGTCATCATATATTAAAATTATTTAATTACTATTTATACATTTTATTGTTTTTATTACATTCTATTTTTATTGTATATTGATATGGAAACAAAAGATCGTATGATAGAATCCACCTTATTTGGTAACTTTTTCAGAATCTACTACTTACTCCGTATTAATATGGATATTTATTAAAATATATATATAAGAGGAATTTTAAGAGCATCTGGCGTGCCAATAATCCTGCCATGTCATCATATATAACAATTATTTAATTACTATTTATACCTTTTTTGTTACATTCTATTTTTTATTACATATTGATATGCAAACAAAAGATCGTCGTGTATGATAAAATTCACCTTATTTGGTAACTTTTTCAGAATCTACTACTTACTCCGTAGTAATATGGATTGTTATTAAAATAAGCAATTATTGCAACCACAACAATAAATAGTCATCCGTGCACATAGACTTTATTTAGTTTAACTATTTTTATACTTTTATTTTTATTACATTCTATTGAGAAGTGAATTATCCGTGTTTTGCGCACCTAACAAATAAATCATCCAAGTTCCTATCAATTTTGTTCTTCAAAGTTATTTTATAAATAAAGTAATAATAGTGTTCCATTTCCTAAAAAGTACGGAGTAATATTTTATTTTTCTAAACTCAATTTTTTGAATGTTTTCTAAACTCAATGTGATAATGACTAAAGTTATTAGACTTATATTTGCAATTGTGTTAATACTTCGTATTTTTCTGCATCATCATACCATTCTTTCTTAATGATTGAGATAATGATGAAAATTATAACCACACGATTGTTTATCTTAAAAATGAAATTGATATATACTATTAGACATTCATATATGAAAACATTTAAAACTTCTGATCAAGTATCTTACCTTTATGAGGATGGAAATGGATATTCATATCATACATATATGAATACGTTTAGCCCAGCAAAAAAAGTAAACATGTTTAGTTGTTTCTTTATTTTTACAACTACAATTTAGATTTTCCTTCACTTTTGACATAGATTCCTAATCTAAATTAGAAAATCTTCATACATTTAGGGTGTTTTTAATTGGACTGGTTTCAGTCTTAGACAAGATCGGATCAAATAAATATCTATTATTATTATTATTAGTATTCTTATTATTATTATTATTATTATTATACATAAAATAGACATCTTCCAGACTAAGTTAGAAATGAACATATCAATCTAATTAAAAATATCCTTATTAATGGCATTTTCAATGTGACTAAATAAATGAGTAATTGTAAAAATGATCCTTTTTTTACATTTCAATGTGACAAAATAATGAGTACAATGTAAGAGCTCACTAATAAATTTACAAATACTTATTTCATACCACATGTTGAATGAGAAATATTTGAAAATAGTTTTTTGGAAAAATTGATTGTAATAATCCCAACTATTGGCGGTCCGCTTATAATAATTCCAACTATCGATTATTTTAGAATAATCCCAACTTTAGGGTCCTTCCGCCAATAACAGTCCTTGTAAATAAATTCATGTACTTTTTGAAGTGGATGAGAAGAGATATAACAAGTAATCTCTATAAATAATCTCAACTTTTAATTTTTACGCTTAATTTCTATTTAAAATTCACTTTTATAGGAGGTAATATTTGGTCATGGACCATTATTGGCGGATGGTCCATATAGTTGGGATTATACAAAAATAATCAATAGTTGGATTATTATTAGCGGACCGGCAATAGTTGGGATTATTATTTTCAATTTTTCCTAGTTTTTTAGATGCTTAATGAAGTAATATAGATGATGTGAAATTAATGAAGAGACTTTTGTATGAATTCTTTAAAACCGGGTTCATAACCATTATGTTTTGTTGAGATGCTTATGTAGAAGTCCAATTTAAATATTTTTCATATATATTTGAATTACTTTTATTAATTATATATGATTTCGAAAATATCAAATATACAGTTAGCTAAATTATGTACTACCCGTGCATCGCACGGGCTTGAAAGCTAGTAATAATAATAATTTGAAACACAAAAGATATGGTTTCCTATGAGATTTTATTACGCTAAAACTAAGAACCAATCACAAGTCATATACTGCGTATATAGTTTTTCATAAAATTAAATTCAAGTTTTTGTTATTATTATGTTCCGAGTACAACTACTTATGTAATGGCTTTATTAATTAGTCCCAATTCCCAAATACAGAGTAAGTCTTAAACATATCAAATCTCACCAAAATAACAAAACTAGACAAATTAAACTTCCACAGTTATAAAGTGATATTTATAGGATCAAAAGTGAAAATTATTATTTTGAGGGCATTCAAATATTCAATCATATTTTTGTTTCGTTCGTAAGGCCGAATCTTTCTATTGTTAACACGTTATAACTATTACTAAATTATTGTTATGTTATTATGGAAATATATATAGACGTGAAGAGATGGTTAGGGGAATTGAGAGGAAAAGAATTGCCCTCGTCATTTGCCTGGTCATATAAGAGGTTGGTGCTAGCATTTGCTCCCTTCTTATTGGTTACTAGTATTAAGATACGTTCTACGTATTTTCTGATTAATTAATAGCGTTACATATCGACGAAAAAATATTTATAAAATTAAACATTACGAAGTATTTACAATTAAGCCACATAGTTTACTAACTTACACAAACGAAACTAAATCCCAGAACAACTTTATTTGGAAGTGACATAGTACGAAAGATATATATATGCGGTTGTTTAAAGAAGGAAATAAAGAATTAATTAATTTATATAATTGAGAAATCAGAAATGACCGGGTTTAAATATAACAATATTGTACACGCATACTATGCAGGAAATACAAGACAGGATATGTATGGCAAGACGTTGTGGACGATGATCTCCTCACACCAATTTCGGACAATGAATACGTCCTCAAAGGATCCGAAATTACCTCATCCACACCTACCAAAGGCAAGTATATAAATATCAATTAATACATATATGTAATGTTTAGTTAATTTAATTAATGGTTTCGTTCAAAAAAAGGTAATATAATATTTGTTTAACGAACTTATTGTTTGAATAAATATTAGTGTGAAGCACGACAGAAGTTGTTGAAACCGAAAAAATGCTTAAAGTGCATTTTAATTATTATTGGCATTATTGCACTACGTTAAATATTAAATGACCGCACATATATACATAAATATTTCAGCCATTAATACTGGTCAAATTTCAAGGTAAAATATATTATGTTGGTTGGAATTGCATGCACAAAATTTATCATATATTGATGACATGGATAAAAGTAATGTATAATGAAATGTACGCATGGATATCTTGTCATCATATATGATCTTTTGAACATAAATTTGAATCATATTGTCTGTTGAAAAATTTACTTTAGTTATGGTACTTATGTGTTTCATTTAGGAGTTAGGGTAGGGTATCCAAATGCAATAATACCATTAATTAAGGCATCATTTATGCATTTCGCTCTCAATACATCACTTGAATGAAATTGAATCATTTGGATACACAACTAAATTAAGAACTGAAAAACTAAAATAAGTTGTGGCTAATAGTTGTACCATGTTGTCTAACGTTTGACATTTCCATATCTCTTGAGTTGGAGATTCAAACTTTTGGATGAATGAAAAACTAAAATAACTATATATAAAAACGTATGTTTCCGTTAAAACAAGATAAATGTTGAATGACAACAGAGTAAAAAATAAGACAATGCAAGCACACAATACAATAAATAATAGAATTGGAACGTTAAAATTAGTAATGTTTGAAATTGGCTAATTAGTTTTGGATTCAATCAAGTTTTGCTCTTAACCTAAAGAAGTTTAGTCCTGAACTAGTTTTTTTGGACCAATAAACTTTATCTCAATATGAGCTAAAACCTAACAATGTGTGAAATAATATTAATAATAATAAACTACATTATTAAATCCTCAATCTCAATCTGGAGTTCTGCCCAAGAGAAACTGTTTGCATATTGCCATGAAGAGATATGATGTAAATCGTTGAGCAGGTGAATTTTTGATTAAAATGTCAACCAATTATAACTGTGTCAAAATCTAAGAGATTTCAACATCTCCATGAACAACAAGCTCACGAATTGGGTTTCATTTTTTAAACTTAGAACTTGAAACTTCTCATTATAGAGGTGACTGTATAAAGAGGAAGCGGCTCAGCTCAACTGATCGCCGACTCACTCTCCCTTATGGGAGGTCCCGGGTTTAATTCTCAATAGAGCGAGATTGATCCCAGTTTACCCCAGGCCCCCCAAATCCACCTCCCCAGACACCCCCGGGGTATATTAAAAAATAAAGTATAGCCTCAAGAGAAAAACAAGAGGTGACCGTAAGATTAGAATTCTAAATTTATGTAGAAAAGTTGACACCCTTAATACAGAGTAATAGTTATACGTGGGAATTGGAAATGTAGAAGATAAGTAGATCACTTTAAATCATGAACGCGCGGGTATAAGTTTTAAGATGAATTAAAGCAACCACAACTGTTCTTGTGTACATATTTATGTTTTTCTAAGGGTGTACATTTTTATGTTAAAAACAAAAAAATAAAAAACAACTGTTTTCAGAACTTTATATTAATTACTTCCTTTTGTTCCATTTTTTCTTTTGCTTCAATGAGTTAAACATGTTTTTAATGTGAAAGCTTCCGCATTAAATTACCGCCAGATATGTGATGTTTACTTTAATTTGGTAAGTTTTAGTAATCAATTTGATTATATCTCCACATATATTTCTTTAAAAGACCGTCTATGACATTTTGATCCAATCCCAAGCTTACAATGGAACTAAGTCAATATTCGTGGTAATAGTATGACGGTTACGTGATAATGCAATTAATACATACGAAGTCCTTGGTATTTCCGTAATCAACTGACTAGAATTTCATGTGATAAAACATACGGAGTATTATACATCCAATAATATAATCCATATGATCTTTTGTATTTCGCAAAAATCAATGCAACCGAAAGAAATTGACCTAATAATATAATCCATATGCTGTTATTCATACGTAGTATATTAACTACTAAATCTCGGTTTTGTCATGAAGTTACCCCTAGACTATGACATAATAATGATTTGAAAGTTGTATTGTAATTTGTCATTGATGAAATTATTATGTTTTGACATCCCATCCTTATATTTTTCAACTATAATTAAATGCAGAAAGAAAAACAATTAGGAATAGAGAAAGAATTAATGGGATCGGAGAGCGGAGAATGAATTTGGAATGTGTTAATTAAATATAATACTCCACAAATTAGTATACAAATTGAGTCGGTAGATGTTAATAAATTTTAAAAAAGAAAATGTATGTAGAAGAAGGTATGTTTTGTAAACGGAGTATCATATTATGTACTTGGTACATAGTATTGTAAATAGGAGTAGATTATTGTCGTTCTAAATTATACTCCGTGGAGTACTATAATTTACATTGGTATTATGACACATTAATTAACGTGTGTTTTCCAATTACTTACTTCCTTTGTTACGTTCTTTTTCAAAAGCGACGGTCCACTTTTCACATTTATCAATACACAAATTTGACCATTAATATCTTTCATTCCTTATTAATAAAAAAAATTCAAAAACAATAGATTTTGAATATTTGAAATGAAAAGAATTTAACAATATTTTTTTAAATTTAATTTATAATACATAAATAAATAAAATAGAGTCAAAGTAGAATACGTGAATAGTGGAAAAAGTTGAATGATGCATTTAAAAAGGATAAAAAGGAATGCAGGGAGTATTACCTAGTACTACATACTAAATATTCATATCATATCTATATATATGTGTGGTGAAATAGAAAAAGGTGCGCCCATGCAAAAGGAATTAGAGTTCGAAGGCCATAATAGAGACGACTCGAAACTGCAACTGACAAAAGAAGAAATAAATCAATGGCGGTGTCATTGCCATTGCTATCACCATCAAGCTCCCATAGATAAGACCACATCAGGAAAGAAAACGGCCTCAGAAGAGATCATCAATACCGAGGAGGAAGAAGACGACGACGAATCATCTCCCATTCTCCTACGCCGGGAAGCCTCAACTATGACCAGCGAAGAATCCGATGACGCAAGGCCGCCGTCCACTCCTCTCCGTTCTCAGTTCTCCAAAAATAAGATCAGCGAAGACCGGAAGAAAAGGGCAGTCCCGCAACAATCGGGCATTTTCCGGAGTATCATCACCTGCGGCAACGTGGACACCAAGGACTCGGCCGTCGTGCGCCGTCAGCCGTACTTTGGGGCTCCACCGTCGTCTGATCTTAAGGGAAAAACCACCATCTCCACGGAGATTTGTTATAAACCGGCGAAGCTCGACGGTGGGTCTCAGAGGACTTGCACAGCGCGCCATAGTCAACCCAGGTTTTGTACTACTTCCCTCCTTTTTAAGATAACTTTAATTTTCTAGTCAATGCTTTTATTTAATTTAGATTTGAAAGTATATTTTTACAAAACTTTTTTTTTTGCTCGAAGAAGGCTTAATTCATAAAAATAGCATTCAGTAGGGGGGTAAAACTAGAAAAAGACCACAAATAATCATCCGCCCGTGGCCGAAACTAAGAGCTAACCACCTGTGAAAAAGCAGTATAACTCGCTAGACCAAAATTGGGCAACTTAAAGCCAATGACGGTAATTGCAGCTTTTCCCTTCCCCAACCTTAATGCAAGAGTCTTACAAGGAAAAGAAACATACCATAAAAACACAAAACAGCAATTAAAGTCAACAAAACAAAACCAGACAAAGACATAAATAAAGACACCAAAGCAACGTTTCTTCATTCCAAAGAACCAGTATGGACTCGGCGGGTCTAAGTGGTCTGACCCGCCCCCTCCCCATTTTTTGACCTCTACAGTGCCATTCCCTCTTCATTAGCATCTGCTTCAACCTGTTCATCCCAAACTCTCCTGCGTTTCAGTTCTCCATATGCCTCCTCTTTACTAGCCTTGGACTCGACCGAGAATTCCCCCCCAATATCAGACTTCCGCTGACCTTTGTAACCATCTGAACTAGAGGCTCCAGCAGATAACCATTTATTAAATCCTGTAGGGCTGGTCTTCATTCTTCCATTTGCCCTAAGGTTTACTCCATATATTTTTTCAGCTACAAATCCCTCCTCATATTTCAAAGGGCAGAATTTGTTAGAATGCCCAATAATACCACAAATAAAACAGAAGCTAGGTAGTTTTTCATATTTGAAATCCACCCAATGCTTTACCCCATCTTGAGTCAGATTAGTACCTTTTTTCAAAGGTTGGCGAACATCCAAACATACTCGGATTCGCAGATAAGGGCTCTGCCTGCCATCAAACTGGTTCATCTCAAATTTAATAAATGACCCTAAAAAGTTGCCAATTCTCCTAGCAGATTTCAGATTCCTATATTTCATAGGGGCATTATGAACCTGTACCCAAAAATTGGACTCATACAAGTTCATAGATTCCGGTATATCATCTGGTTTAACAGCCTTCAACAAAATCAAATCACGCTCAAACAACCAAGGACCATCATCAATCACACGGTTCATATCTAAAACATGGTTAAAATTAAGCAGAAACCTTCTTTCACCAATTTCCTTAATAGACATACCTCTCCCTGGTTTCCATAGAGAAGTCATCAGTTCCTGAAACCCGGGTAGCTTGATCTTGCGATCGGTGACAACGACCCCTACCACCGAAAAGGTCGTTTGTTCCTTCTCCTCGTCATCGCCTTCATCTATCCCTTCATCAAAGTTTAGCTCGGTATTCTGATCCTCCATCGACATCTGTTTGTACGAAGCCACAATGTCCTCCATATGAGTCGTCTTTCTCCGGCCTCAAAGCTTCGCCCCAGCCCTTAGCTGCTGCCTACCAACCGTCGAGACTCCTCCCCTTCCCTCGTCGAAGCACTCTTCCTCTACCGCGATACCAATCCTCGACCAAAGAGCCGAGATCGGAAGAAAACCTAGCGGCTTACGCCCTAGGAAGAACCTGCCTAGCGGCTAATGCCCTAGGAAAAAAATATATTTTTACAAAACTTATAAATTCTATATATTATTTCTAACGAAGAACATTTTGAAAAATCATTTTCGTATTGTAAATGTTTGCAAATATAAATGAATTACGAAGTATCAATCAAAGTTTAATAGGGGGCATACCTGAGTTAGTAGTACATGAAGTAATTGTTTCGACGGGAGTACCTAATACTTCATCTTGCATTTGAAATTTTAAAGTACATCAACTTGTATTTTTATAGTAAATCAAGTACATTTCTCTATTGAAACGTTAAAATAGCTGATTTGACCAAATTATGCGTTTGTATTATACACTTGCAGTCCAAGTCAACAAATAATTAATCTATAAACTCTATTTTCTTTCGGTCCACTCGTTTTCACATATGCTCTTCATCTTATATTTTTCTCGTTTTCTCTCCCTTCTCTCCCCCGCCTTAATAAATCATTTTGTGATGGTATAGAATTTCAACTTTTACTTATACTTGTTTCAGGAAAACCATCGAGGGATTGCATAGCAATGGCCGGAGGCCGTTTTCCGGCGCTTACAGAGCTCCTAAATGCTCGTAAGTCAAATTAGTATTCTGACTTGGAAAATACTAGTACTTTCTTTTTGTCTGTCCATTTGTCGAAGTTCTTCATTTTTTATCATATTCACTTTACTTTTGTCAATTGAGAAATCTGTCAAATAGGCTCCCGTAATATGTCAAAAAAATCAATTAAACTCTCGTACTTTGAAAACATTCAATTAAACTCTTCAACTCTTAAAAAACGCTCAATTAGGCCGATTAGCAAGTTACCAACAGGTTTCCAGGTTAGCTATAGGCGTGGCATGACACGTGGCGTGCCATGTGGCAACTATTTAATTTTTGTTTTTATTTCTCTTTTTCTTTCCTATTCTTTTCTACTCTGTATTTCCCTTTTCCCTGAACTCCTAGCGACGGCCCAAAAGAATCATCGTCATTGTCAACCTCCACACACCACACCCAAGTTTTTGTTCAAACCAAGAACGTAGATATGGATGATGACTTTCCCTTTCCCAGATTGGTTCCAATCTGGCTCGTCTTCGCTAGCCTTGAGAACCTCGCACTTCAAGCAATTAATGGGTGCCTCTGTCTTGAGAACCTAAACACCCCTTGCTGGAATTCATGTTTGGAGCTTCTGCCATTAATGGATGCTTGGGAGCTCTACTCACATTCCAACCCAGTTTTGAAGGTCCCGATTTCAAGGGTCATACTTGGAACCTCCTTTAGATAGGTTAGGTTAGATTCTCTTTGTAGAAATGTTTCCATTAATTTAGGTTGTTGAAAGTCAATTTTAATGTCAAGAAGTCATTAATGACGATTTAGAAGCTCGATTATGCTAAATCTGCCACAGGTGAGCAACTAGGGCCAGGGACGGATCTATAGGTAACCCAAGGGGGGCAATTGCCCCTCCCAACTTGTTTTTTTTTTACTAGTAGTATTAGTTACGTAGTACTTCGTATTTTATTTTTTGTCCACCCACCAAACATTTCATTTATGATTGTGTGATGTGCAATTGAACGGTTCACGGTTGGGCTTGAAGCACTATTAAAATCATTCAAATTTAAAGTCCAACCCAAGAATAAATAAAAACAATAAGTATGAATACTTGTGAATTGTTGCCTATCCCGCCCATTTGTGTTGCCGGCTTAGAATAACAGAAGGTGTGGGCGAAAGTAGCAATGAGCTCAAGTCTGGAGCATTTTCCATGGATTGAGCATGACAAATATCAGTTCTTATTCAACGCTTAAGAACATTTTGACTTTTATAATCTATTAATGTAAAAATATTAACCTTTACTAATTATTTAAGAATCAAAGTAATTTAAGTATTTTGACTTTTTCATCTATTAGATTTAATTTTTAGATATGTGATTGTTTTTTCTAAATCATATTTTAGAGTCCGGGTATTGAACCGGTAGAGCACTAGCTTTCACGACATGCAAGCACCATTTCTAAATTTTAATAGGCATGACGTTTACTCATGTATTTTTCGAGGTTTTAATTAGTACATTTTTTCAACTTTGCCTGCAAGTATAATTGCTACAGTGGATACTACGTAGTGCATTATTTAATGTTTATTCATGTGTATTTTATATGTTATTATATATTTTTTTTATTTCACCCCGCCCCCCTCTTGATCACATCCTGGCTCCGTCCCTGACTAGGGCTGCGTCGGAACTTCAGGTGCATTCCAAGTCTGTTTGGTAGAAAAATGGAAGTTGTTTCATGGTTCTAAATCTTGATTGTGGGTCATCCTCCATTAATGGAGGCTTGGAAGTACAGGACGGATGAAGAGCTGTAGTGGCGCAAGACGGGAAATACATGAGCAGTATGTAGCAGCTAACTGGGAAAGAAGGAGAGTGAGAAAAGAAAAAGATTTTTTTTATTTGCCACGTATACCGTCACGTGGACCGCCACACATGCAAGTAACCGGGAAACCTGTTGGTAACCTGCTAATCAGCCTAATTGAGCGTTTTTTAACAGTTGAAGGGTTTAATTGGGTGTTTTCTAAGTACGAGAGCTTAATTGACTTTTTCGATATAGTATGGGGACCTATTTGACAGTTTTCTCTTATCAATTTGTCTATTACCCTTTATTCACTTTTTATAGACTCCTCAAACTTTTTCTTTGTGTTTTCATTTACCGTTATAAAATACTCCTAAACACTTAGTATTTCATAATTATGTTAAGAATTGGGGTTCTATCCTAAAAGGTCAACCTGATAGGAGGAGTAGCTCATGTCTTATATAGCACTTTTTTTATTCAAACTTTTCCAGTGTGGGATTCTAATACCCCTCCTCACGACGAGACACTTCGTCTGGATCGTCCCGTCATTCATTTTTTTCGTCGGTTCGTCGTTATCATTTTTTATAATCGTGTCGTCATTTTTCATAAAGGGGCCCACACCATGGATTAATTGTGGCTCTGATATCATGTTAAGACCCGAGGTTCCATCCTAAAAGGTCAACCTGATAGGAGGAGTAGCTCATGTCTTAATATAGCACTTTGTTGATTCAAACTTTTCCGGTGTGGAATTCTAATATTATCTTCTTTATTTCACTACTAAAAATATACTATCGGAGTTTTGGCATGTATATGCCCTGAAATAATGACAAATGTATATTGAACTTCACTTTAGTGTTAGTTTGAGGAAAACCCATTTTGAGACACTAAACAGTGATATTTGAATTTGTTCAAATTTCATGATCAAATTTGTTCCAAAGCCTTTTGTCAAAATCATATAACACGGAGCCGTGCAAAAGTCAGTACCAAACATGAACATGCCTCACATTTTAGGATAGAAGTAGTTTTTATAATACAGCATCCAAACCTTATTCTCAAAATATTTTGGGATTGGCTGGGTACGTAGTGAATATGATATAACACAGAAATTAGAAAATGTGCTAACGGATTGATAGAAGATAGGTGTTAACTAAGGACTAGAGAGTTGAGACTACTACTCAATGCGTAGTATAATAAAAACATTTATTTCAGATCAAGCAACTTGCAAATATCAACTAAAAAAATGGATGTATTTGATACTAGTTTTATTGACTATATACTAGCTTTGAGTTTCAAAGTCCTATTTTAACCTCTAGCTTATGGGACACTTTGGACATGCATATTCTGAAATGAAACCTGATTATTATAGAACACAGAATCTGAGTAGTCAGTAGCACAACTCATCATAACCTGCCCGATATGGGGATTTGTTTCTTGGAGGGCAGGCAATGTGGGAAGCCATTCAACCCGGAGAAACTATACTCACACATGAAATCCTGCAAAAGAATGAAGAATTGTGGAAAGAGTGCACATCAGGACTCCTCTGCAGCTGAAAACAGTTCAAAGAGATCATCAACCCAACAATCAATGAATAACAAATCAGTTTCTTCTTACTGCTCAACGTTTTGAACACCAACGAATTGGGCTGGCAAAGAGTACCCGCCCATGCTATTTCTTCTTCCATGATTCTTATGGTCTTTTACAGCAATTCTGTACAAATGAAATGCACACATACATACTACACCTCCATTGTACTTATCTAGGTGTTTGTTTGAATGTCCACTTTTAAAGAGATTAAATGATTTTCCAAAAGCATAAATATTTATTTGGACTTATTTCAGTTTCAGATTTAAACAGATCCAAGGATCAAAAAGAACATTCATTTGTATCCTTGAAAACCAAGAACTGCAAAAGGATTTGAAGACACTCATGGAATTCATAGTACTAAAGAAATTGACCAGTACACATAAAGTGAAAGCTATGTTCATCTATGAACCTAATTTCAAAAGAAAGCTCAGCTAATGCTCTTTGTGTCACTTTTATCTGATCAGAGATCTAGTGTAGGGTTATGAATAGGTTATCTAAGGATCAAAGTCTCCTAAAAACTAGCCAACCTAACCTACAATTATGGACACTCCACATCATTTAACACAAACCTATATACGGAGTAACTTTTTTATCAAGCCTTCTACCTTCTCATCTCCTTCCTGTCCACTACAGTCATCCAACCATTGATTAACCTCTTAAAGCTGTTCCACTATGCCTACAATTTTGGGGCTGCCTTCTCCCTTCTACACCTCAAGTCCCGTCTTTAAGACTTAAACTTATTCTCCATGTATCTCAGAAACCCATCTCCGGGAAAAAAGAAAGCAGCTTTTCAGCTAAGCTAGAAGCACCCTTTAGCCCATCTCCTTTGGACCACACTTGAACCCTTTAGAGTTACAGTTCTTGGGCAATTTATTATCTCTAGTTGGGAAAAAGTTGCCCTTCTTTGGAAAGTTCTCGTCTATTACAGCACATAAGTGTTGTTTCTCCCCATTGGCAATGGATCCTTCCCTCTGTTGCTTCTTTGAGAACAAATGAAGGCTTGAGAGCTTGGAGTCTAGAGCAGCTTGAACCCATAATGCTGCATTTTTGTTTAAAAGGTCTTCGTTTCACGATTTGAGAGATCTTAGGTTCAATAGAGAAGAATGACAGCAACTGCTTTCTGCATCCTTTGCTCAAGGTTCATGTATTTCTCTATCACCGATCCAATGTGGGAAGCTTCACGGAAGTTGTGTAGGGAAACGAGAGAATGTTCATAGAAATAGCATTGAGAAGGGTACAAAAGCACAAAAGAACCACAAGTAACCATCTACTCGTGGCCGAGACTGAGAATTAATCACCTTTAAAAAAGTAATATAACTCGTTAGACCAAAATTGGGCAACTTAAAGCCAATGACGGTTACCTTAGACTTTCCATCCCCCAAACCTAATGCAAGAGTCTTACAGTGTAAAATAAAATAACAACAAAACACAAACGTCTTAACTTCAGAAATTAAAGTGCAGAAAAGGTAAATCATAAGCAAACTCCAAAACGCGTCGATCAACCCTTGGCGGTGGTTCTGGAGGAGGTATGACCCTCGCAACAATTGTTGATGCACCAATTAGGGGGAGACTGATCAGTTTCGCCACGTTGTCTGTACCCTGCGCTCCTCGGTTCTCCTCATTTGCGACACATTGATCGCCCATCCCCTACTTACCCGTGCCAGCCATCTCCATCTGCAATCGTCCTCCTTCGATCTCAATGTCCAAGCCCTACGGAGAGGGACAACGCCGGACCCAAGCGCCACAATAGGCCGTCTTTTCTCACCCCTCGTTCTCGACCCTATAAGATGCCCAAGCCCTGCGGCCGAGAGTCGCGACAAAGGAACCTGCTGCACCAAAGGAAGAACGTCGGACGCCGTACCTTAGCTTGGAAGGCACCGCCGGAAAAACACCGGACGCCATACCTTGGAAGGCACCGCCGGAAAACAAAAGACTACCCTAAGCGGCCGTCCGCAACCGTAGGGAGAAAAAGAGCTCTCCACAAATAAAGTTATCGAAAGTGCCCAGAACTTGATAGTTCATGTTTGCTTTAGCGCAATTTTGACCATTAGTTCCCTAATTGGCTAATTCTAAAAATATCAAAAAATCACATTTTGATAGAGTGAGAAGAATTAATTTTTACTTTAAAAAATTGATGTATTCGTAAATAAAATATAGACAAAATTCATGACTAATGTAAAGTTTCTAATGTTGTAATTATTTAAGAACGTAAGTAGTGTCTTGAATAAAATGAGTTTGAATCATGTCTAAGTAAATTTCATGAGCTTGAGTTTAAAGTTTATTTTGCCTAAATCTTTTCATCTAGTTTTTCTCTCTAATTAATTGTGTGCTGTTGTTCTTTCCCAAATATTTTCCATGTAAAACACGGACCCTAAAGTTATATTTGGACTAATCATACTGATTTTCCAAAATTAAGACTACAGATTAGCATAAGACCTAAGTACACCTGTTTTGACCAAATTGCCCTCCCTGATTAAATTCCTCTGCCCATCAAACATACCCTGCGCAAACTTCACCGACCCGACACCTCTCTCCTCTCACGATTGAGATCGATCGACGACCGGCATCACCGCCGCTGCTGATTTCACCATAACCGGTGTTGAAACACCATCGTCAACGCATCATATAGCTGCTCCAGTTGACTTCATCGGACGCCATCGTCAGAGGTTTCTTCTTCTTCTTTTCTGATTTTGGACATTGATTTTGCCAATTTCGAACTTTTACTTCATATTTTCACAAGGCCACCAGATACTCTGCAAAACTTGTGAAGAAACCAGATCCAAAATCAAACTTGCAAACACTTGACAATACATAGACAGTAAGTAGTTAGTAAACAGACAATAAGTTCTAATAATAGCTCAATAGCAGACAATACATAGACAATAAGTAGTCATTAAACAGACAATAAGTTCTGATAATAGCTCAATAGCAGAGCAGGTAATGTAAAAATGGGAGGACATTGAACTTGACCTTGAAATTGGGAGGAAGGGGCTTATTAGAGTCATCCCAGGGAGGATATTCAACTCGATTTCACGAAAATAGGGGGAATAGGGGAGGAGTCGCTGGAATCCGAATAGGAAGGGGAGTAGTTCTCCATGGCCGTGATTGCTACGGAATTGATTTTTTGCATTTGTGTGTGTTTAGGATTCCGGCGATGATGGGCGACGACCTCTCTGGCGGCGGCGATGAACGGCGGTGAACTGAGTTGTAGTCTGCGACGAGGAGATGAGTCGATTTCCTCTGACGCGTCTTCTCCTTGGTTGACCTGCAATGAAGGAGGGCAAAAATGGAAAGCAGCAATAATGTTTCCTAAAGTAAGACTATATAAATCTCACGGATGGAAAAAAGATCATTGAGTCCTCCTTTTGTAAAGATGGTATGTTTTGATCTTATGAATAACAATTTTCTCTATGTTGATTTCTTATTTTTCTATTTACATAGAAAAATGCAAACATTGAAATTTGGCTGATGTGGTTTAAAAAAATTACATACGGGGTATGTTTTAATTGCTAAGTACTTGTATCAGAGAAATAAATATTTAGTCCATATAAAACAAAAATGTATTCGAATAAATACTAAAATGTGAATTTGTTAAAAACGAAATAGTATTTTGCTTTATTCAACATTTCTCTTATTTAGAGCAATTCTTTGATTTTAAATAGATATTTGGACTCTCTTTTTTTTAAAGAAAATAACTTAATTATTATTGATAAGGATAACAAGAAACTTAACAATCAAAAGCCGAATCATTACAATCATAACTTTTAATGCTACACTAGGGTGAGACCAGAGGCGGACCCAGTAAGGGTCCCATGGGGTCCCGGGACCCCGTGCACCTCGAAAAAAATACCTATATATATTATACATATATTATATAAAATTAATTACTAAGTGTATATTTACATGAAAAACGACCTAAGAACCAAAAGAATAGAGCAAGGGAACGGTAGCAATGTGTGTTTTAGATTTCTATGTTTGGGAGGGGTACCATGTTCGAATCCCCTATGCTCCTATTTTTTTTTCCAAAACTGTTTTCATCAAATAGACCAAAACTAAGTTGTTTTGGCCTATTTTAATTTTAATTAAATAGACCAAAACTTTCAGTGATGATTCTATTATAGAATATTTCCAACAAAACTTTCTCTATTTTCCAAAACTATTTTAATTAAATAGACCAAAACTACGTCGTTTTGGCCTATTTTAATTGAATAGACCAAAACTATTAGTGATGATTCTATTATAGAATATTTCCAACAAATGAAGCTCAAGAGGGTACATCTCTGGAATTGTTAAATGATTTTTATATGTATTATTTTGCTTTATAATACCTTAATGTATTTTGGGCTCCTTTTTTGTTTTCCAAAACTATTTTAATTAAACCAAAACTACGTCGTTTTGGCCTATTTTAATTAAATAGATCAAAACTATTAGTGATGATTCTATTATAGAATATTTCCAACAAACATTTTTTGTTTTCGAAAACTATTTTAATTAAATAGACCAAAACTACGCCGTTTTGGCCTATTTTAATTAAATAGACCAAAACTATTAGTGATGATTCTATATTTCCAACAAATGAAACTTAGAATTGTTGAATGATTTGTATATGTATTTTTTTCTTTATAATACCTTAATGTTTTGATGGTGTACGTTAACTATGAGGTGTTATGCTTCTTTAATATTTTTTATTAGTTTTATATTAATTAGAGATTAGAGATATAAAGGGGTAGTGACCCCGTGGTTCCGACTTTCTGGGTCCGCCACTGGGTGAGACAAAGAACAAAAAAGTCATATACGAAGTAAAAGCTATCATGTTCGTTAACTCAGCAACTATGTAGACTTGTACCATAGTTTGACTGCTCATGCTACTCGACATGGGTCCGGTTTGACCAGCCACCGAAAAGGAGTTATTACACTTGCCGGTTTTTTCAGCCACCGGTAAGGAGCCACATGCAGAAATTGTTCCGGTTTCACCAACCACCGGAAAGAAAGCAATCCCTTCAATCCCATCTTCCTGGATTGGCGATGGTTCAGATTGGGGGCGATCGGCCTTTATATTGATACAGAAGAAATCCAGATTCATGATTGAAAAAGACGTCAATACAAACTTTTTACTAGCACACAAAAACACTCAACCGATGATGGTGGGGAATATAATCTGGCGAGCGACACTTCGCCACCGAAAATAGCAACTCTAGACAACGCTAGGAAATAAAAGTATACGTAGAATTGAAAATACTTATCCAACGAAACCTTTTTCATAATTGGGATCAAAAGAAGACTGAAAAAAGAAAAGAAAAGAAGAGGAGGAGGCTAGGGTTTCCCCTTCTCCCGCTCATCTCTCTTTTTGGACTCCTAATAAAGGGAGTTTCGACATCAAAAATACTAATTCTAAACATTTTTAAAAAAGAGACCTGTATGAATTTTATGTCTCCCCCGATTACAGTTACTCAGTCAACCAGTTACAATTATCCTGACCAATAGTGACCACCGCCGGTTAGTTACCATGGTCCGCCGGTAACCACCATATTAACCAATCACCACCCGCCGCCCAGCGGTGATCTGTGCGCTGCCCTTTCCGTAATCACCCCGCCCTTACCCCTCTCCAACAGTAAATCTCGGTTGCCCCCTCTCTATCCCCCCAAGCCCCCTCCCCAACTCCATCCCCGCTCTTCTGACCCTCCTAAGCTGCCCCAAGCCCTCAACCATTGCACCTCACCACAAACCTTTGCCCTTGCCCACTGTTCTCGCCCCAACCTAGTCGATTTGGTAAGTTCTGTTATAAAGTGCTCTGTTTAATTTTGTTGGATAAACATTACATAGTTTTGTTTGCATTGCTAGTATTTAAATTGTGGGAATATATAACTATATAGTACTTCCTCTTATTCGTTAGGATTATCTCATCTTTTCTATTTAGTCCGTCGCACTAACATTTTCTCATACCAAATTTGGTAAAATTATGTTCAAAATTATTCCTTCTTTATTCTTACTTTATCAATTTAATATAAATCACATAAACCAACTTTTCTTAATAATCGCACTATTTGATCTTATCCCTATGTTAGTAGAACGTGGTAGTAATATATTACTATTTTCGTAATATATATATATATATATATATATATATATATATATCTACATATTGATGTATTAGTATTTTCACAAACTATATGTTATATTAATGTTTTTCAACCACTACAAACTACTTTCATATCGACAAAATTCATATTTTACTTTTCTAGCGATCCAAAGATGCAGATAGTCTTAAGTTGGCCTTTTTCTTTTGTTTAGTTGAACATGTTATTTCCGACTTTCCGGTTCTAATTATGATTTTATCAAGCTATCCCATTTGAAAAATAATGTTCATCACAGTGCATAGTGGTCGCGAGTTGTGACCACTACGATATTCACTATGGGGTAGTGGGAGAAGTTGCCTTCAATGGACTTTGTTAACAATAAATAAAAGGAAATTACACTAAATAGGAGTAAACAGGCTTTGTAATTTCAAAATATGGTCGTTATGTTTTTCTTCCTAAAATATGAGTCGTTATTATCATCATTGAAAAATATTGTAATGTTATAACTAGTAATGCAACTGTTTAGCAGTAATGATTAAAAATGGCAGTGAATATTGTTATGTTACTCCTATTTCGAGAAGAAAAATATAACAGCCTCATTTTATAATTTCCAAAACTTATTTAGTCCTATTTCAAGAACTTCTCTAAATAAAAGGGAAAATTTTCAAAATAGAACTAAAAACACTTTGAAATCTCAAAATATGACAATCATGTTTTTATTTTTTGAATGAAATAAAAACACTGCAATGTTTTAGATTTAGAAATGTCAAAAGATGACAGTAATTACTCATATTTAAATAATAAAAACATTACAATCAATTTGAGAATTAAAAAAACATTTTTATTTATATTTAGAGCCAGTTCTTTAACTTAAATGACACCATTTCGGGTTTGATTATTAATACTTTTCAAAGAAAATGCATACCTCTGAGTTCTGATTCCAATTATCCCATTTCTTTACTAATTTTTATCAAGAATTAGTTTTTTGTTTGGAAGGATTATCAAGTATTAGTTTTTTGTTTTGAAGGATTATCAAGTATTATCCCATTAGAAATATGGCTATTGTGTAAAAAATTTACCAAACGCAAAGGGATAATTTGTTAGAACTTATATAACACATGGGTGTGTAATTAACCCATTTTAGTAACAATAATGATTTGACTGGTAATACTCGTCTGAATGAGGACGTGATGTTTAGAAGAAAAGGAAAGGGAAAATGGATGCTTGTTGGCTTGTTGCTTATTCGCTTGCTTGGACAAATACATTCACATTAAATAATCAGAGATTCAGGCATACAATGTCCGCACACTGGATTAAAGGGGAAAAAATCAAATGTTCTAGTTTCAAAAAATCAGGTGCTTGCCTTGATGAAACTACCATTCAGGAATTAGCTGGAAACAAAAAGAACACACAATGCAGGAATTGAATTCTTAACCTTGGACGGTAAAACACACTACATATCCACTTGCACTGACAAGAAATAAAAATTAATACTTCGTATGAAACAGTGGGGATGGGGTGGAGTGGGGAGATCCACAAAATGATATAATGCAGCACTGGAGCTGCTACACTTCCCCGCTTCTATCATGCCTAAGATAGGTTAGGAAATAACTTATATCCGGGTTCGGGGTCGGTACCATTTTACATTCCGTTAGGCTTTGCGGGCCTTAACGCCTTAATCCTCAAGATGAACACCCCCTCTTCAAAGGAATCAACAAACGGTCAGATGCTTTCAAAGGAAGTAATCAGGAGTCCTCCTGGTAACATCTGGCTCCCCTCTTCTTGGAGCAGGCTCAAACTAAGACCACAAGAAAAATAATATGAAATAGCTCGGACAATAAAAAGAGGATCACTGAAGGAAAATTACTTTTTTAATGTGGTAATAAAAAGGCTTAGATGTTGCTGTAAATTTGTCACAAATTGCGAAACATACTCCTAAAGGTTCTGGGTAGTAAAAGCAACAAGGAAAAGTGAACACAAATGTAAGAGCATAACTAAGCCGTTTTACTATTTCTTACTTCCTGTGCCCCCTAATTAAAGTCCCAGTTTGACTTTTGAGCCAAACTTTGACCATTAATTACTCAGAATTAACTATAACTTATCAAATATATTTAATTTTATGTGCTTCATTCTTATATGTTTATATACCTACAAATATATAGGTATATATTTATAGATAATTATGGTCAGACGTCCACCTATATTACGGTGAAATGTTAATTCATTTTCATATGTAGTTTGTACTCTTAATTTCTGTCATCATAAATCTCAACCAACATTTTAACTTTGTGCCAAGTCAAACCCAGATTCATTAAAAGGGGATGGAAGGAGTAGAAACCTTTTAAAAAACTGGAGTATGTTCAGGGGCTCGTCAGGAGTCAGGACTCCTCAAAAACTTAATTTGGGTAGAGCCGGAAAAATAATTCATTCATATAAATGTATATGGCAAAAAACATAAATGTTAAATATAAAGAACAAACTTTGGGTGATTTGGGACCCAGTGCCCCCCCCCCCCAAATAAGTCCCTGGGTATGTAAGGAAGTGACAAAGAACGGGCACCTGAATAAATGTATGTTCATTGCTGTCATCAACTTCCAAGATAGAGGCCATGTTGCCGCAACGATAACAGTAGTTTGGTGCACTAAAAATGGTGACCACCTTTTGTTCCTGTGGCACAAAATTATTTGGAGGGAAAGACTTAAATGACCCCCACTAAACCAAATGTAATAAAGATGGTATATTTTTCATTAAGACTAGAAAGTAATGATGATCATCAATTACATGGCTCCAGTTGTATCCTTCCATAACTAGTTGATGGGCCCTAGCAATGAGTTTCAGGCTGTTTGTATGATTGAACTGCTCAGATATGTCCTACAAGAAGTTTATACACGTGAAAATATTAGATAGATAACCAGGAAAATACTGAAACTATTTTTAGAGGGAGGAGAGTATCTACCTGGCCAAATGTATAGCCAGCACCTCGAGGAGAGATACCCCAACCACAGCGATCATCAGGGTCAGACCATAAAAGATCACACATGGGGCCCTCATGTGGCACTTCTTGAACACGATCAAAACTTCTTATGTTATCAAGGGTTTCAATAGATGGGGACAGCCCACCGTGTAAACAAAATATTTCAGATTCAACCTAGAAGGATAGGAGTAAAAAAAATATTTGTTTGTTAAAGTGGACGGAAACAGTTTCATTGAAAAAAGGAGAGAGCATAATCAGCAGCCAAGTGCTGATAAATACTCCCTCCATCTCAAAATTGAGGTGTAATTGACTAAGGCACAGCATTTTTTTTGTCAACTCAAGCAAGTTGCAAGTTTTACAAGTTATAAACGTGCAAGGTGCAACCTTTTACATGTTGTTAATTTAGTTACCTCAAATCAAAGTTAACTATTAAAACTGCACTCTTTTTTCATTTAAAAAATTGCTCGAAATAAGACTCATTTGGGACAGAGCGATTTGCAGTCAAAAATTAAAAAAATTATGGAATAGACAGAAGAATGTATAGGACAAGTTACTAACCAGTGCAGTCAGAGGAAAAAAGTCAAAAAGGTCCGTGAAAGTCTTCCAAACATTGGCATTCCCATACCTGAAAAGAATAAGATTTATGCATTATGATTCTTATAATAGCAAATATTAAGAAACCTGCCAACGCACTCCTAGAACAATGCATAAACATAAACAAAGAATCGCTAACAAAGGGATGTTCTTTGGGGTAGGTCCTTCTACATCACTCTAAAAAAGAGTTGCAGGAAATCATTAAATAAGTAATAAAACATTCTCTAAAATATGGGCCACTTAGTGAAGTCTTGAAATGGGAAGAAATGAAAATTTGAAGTTGAGAAATGGGAAACGTTCCATGCTAAATTTGATAATTTTGGCTATTATACATTGAGATGTATTTACGCATAAGTTAAGAACATCTCGCACGAGGTAGTCAGGCACCACACTACCACCCAGCTAGTGGGAGGTGCACCATCAACAAGTATTCAAAAATACTTAGAACTATAGCAGCTATTTAAGGATTTAGGTAAATGTGTTATAATCAAACATTCAAACAAGTATGGAGTATAACTTAAAGAACTTACTTCCTCAAGCACTCATCATAAAACCCATACACTTGAGTGATCTGCATTAAAAAATGAAATGTTCAGCACTTGGCAATATAACATTCAGTAACTGCCCATATTTTAAGAGTACAATGAGAAATAAGCTTATTTGAAAGCTAACCAAACTCACTCTTAAAAGCACGAGGGTCTGAGTTTCCTGTTTTATTGAGTCAGTGACCATGAAATCTTTAATTTTTTCAATGCAGCCATAGTATTGTACAAAGTATAATATATGAAATGACATATCAGAGTCCTATTTCCCTCAGTCCGGACTGACAGGAATTTCCATCAGTCCGGGTTCATTTTAGACCAGAAATAAAGTTGATGTCTTGATGATCCGATTTTTTTCGCTCATTAATATTAGCTATTAACTTCACCCATTAGATCTTAAATTTGTTCTATGATGAACCCCATAAACACACTTTTTTACTTCTAATACTTATCTAAAGTTATTTTTTGAATGATCCAATGCTTGAAACTAACATTTAATACTGATGACTAAAAAACTTGGATCATTCAACTCAATTTTTAAATCAAAATTAAATTGGATAGGCGGGATTTCTGTCAGTCCGGACTGATGAGATAATTTCTCTGACATTTTATAAATTTATAAGATCTCATTGGTTTCAAACACACATGTAAGAAGCTTTCAAGCCTTGAGGCGATTTGTAGCTGTGAGACAAGGCATAAGCACACTTTATGCAGAACTCCCTTTACAGACAAAATTTACTAACAATTTAAAGCCTATGATTTCAAGTATCAATCATACATAAAAAGGAGTCATATTTTGTCCTAAAGGAAATCAGAAAAGGTAATCAGAAAAATCTAGTATCTGTTGTCCTAAAGGAAATCAGAAAAGGTTGTTCAATGAGAAAAAGTGAGAATGAACGGGCGGAGCCCAGAAATTTTGATATTCTGGAGAAATATCAATAAAAAGAAAATGTTAAAGATGTTATGTTACTTCTGACGTTGTCTGTCAAAAAGAGGGGAAAAAAACTCAGGAGTATTTTGATTTATTTAAACCTTGCTATAATGAAGAGAAGGTGAAGAATAGTAATAGTAGCTCAGTTAGAAATGTTCGCACTTCTGCACAAGTGTAGAGCAGTTGTAGGTTATATGAGCTTTATAAGTAGAGTTTTGTGATGACAAATGTCGATTTTGACAATAGATATTAAAACTCCTGATGGGCTTTAAAGACTGATTATTAGAAAATAATAGATCCAATTAGAATTTTACTTGAAAATAACCAGCCCAAGAAAAAGAAAAAAACATGAGGCTTCAGCCTCACAAAACACCTTGAGGCTAAAGCCACACAAAATGCCTCAACCACGTGAAGCTCAATCCTCAACTCAATCGCTTGAAGCTTAAGCCTCAAGGCTTTTTTTCTTCACTTTGCATACAGTATACACCCTTATACAGTATACACCCTTCCCCAGACTCTCGCCTTGGGAGGATGCCTTCGTGCACTGGGCTGCCCCTTTTTTACATTAAGGCCTTAAGGCAAATCTAAAAAAAAAAACTAGGATTCAGAATACCAAGGGCACAAACCTTCATCTCTAGCTACCCGCTCAAAAAAATTGAAAAAATAGGTATATATAAAAGAATATAAAGTAAAATAAATTAGATAATTAAAATTTTGAATCACCCAATTAACATCCCAAAGCAATGACACAGTAAGTACTCAGAAATGAGGTTAAGGAACTACAAGCAAGTAGAGGAAACCTACAGGGAAATGATTAATACTAAGCACAAGACAGCTTCATATCAAATAGTACTTCAGAGCAGTATACCTATAATTAAGAATGGTTAAAGCACAACACAAAAATAAAATTGACATTACAGACAAGAGCAACCCTATGAAGCAACCAGGAAATAGCTTTATGATATCATTTCTTACCTGTCGACTTTCATGGTTTCCTCTAAGAATTGTAATTCGCTGAGGATGGCGCACTTTCAAAGCTACCAAAAGCTGAAAATCAAATACAATGCATCTTAGTAACTTGCAATGTCTAGTTAACTCTTGATCCAATTTCTTACGTCATTCTTTTTGGGTCAAAAGTTACAGCAAGTTTTGCTAAAAGCCTACAGAAGACTCCTTTACAGAGAGAGAAGCAGTATGGGGGCTACAGTTGTGTCTAAAATCCAAATATGTGTAATTTATCTCAAACAAAATGTGGAACATCCTAACATTAACCATTAAAACTAGAAAAGCACAGTTTAGTTACTTACAGTCACTGTTTCAACAGAATAATACCCACGGTCTACATAATCCCCCATAAAGAGATAATTTGTATCAGGACACTGCCAATAAGAAACATCAAAAATATATAAATCAGAAAACAGGATCTGAATGGAAATGAAGTTAAGTTATAAGGACTTGAAGTACAGTGTACTAAAAGATATAAATATAAATATATATATATATATATATTAAAACTGTGAGAGCCATTGTTGGCACCTATGTATAATGCATGGAAAAGTGAAGTGGTTGATTTGGGTTATAGGGTTAGAGATCCCAAAAAACGTTCAATGTAGAAAGTTTAAATGCAAACAAGTTTCAATGGGGAAGAATATGAACTACGCATTCATAACATATACATTTTCTTCTCATCAGAATAATGTTATCGGTTATCCACTTACTTAAAGGAATTTGAAGATCACCTTTAGCCTTTTGGTGTTTTCTAAGTTCTTTTTTGAGTTCTTAAAAATGGAAGCAACATGTTAAAAAATTTCAACTTTCTCAATTCATAGAACATACTAGCTTTGTCCCGTATAAAGATTCGCATCCACTATTATCCGATCAATGTAAAATCTTCTTAATCTTTTATTTTATATATCTAATTTTTATCGAATTTGAGTTTTCTTTTTGTGACTTTAAAAAACTTTTAATGTAGTTTCTGAATATGTAAATTTTATTTACTAAAAATAACTTTATTGCAAACAGGGATCAGTTAACTTTATGGTCGGTCAAACATCATAACCGCGTGGGAACCTTTGTACGGGACGGAGGGAGTATCATTTTAGACAAAATACTCTGCTTTCTGTGTTATACTCACAAGAATAAGAAACCATAGTTTACATGGCGCGAGGGTATATGGAGCTTCAATTTTTCAAAACTTTAACTTGATACCTACTTAAAGATGTACTTTGCATATGCATTTGCCTTTTGTGCAAACAAGTGAATGAAATAAACAAAACATAAAAACAACATTGTCGCGTTGTATCTAATACTACCTCAGTCCTGTTAAGCTTGGGGCAAGGGGGTTGGCACAAATATTAAGGAAAGGAAGGATTGTGAGGTTGTTATTGGATTTGTAAGAGTTTGGATGATTATGAGCCATAAACTATGGGCAAAAGTGGTATATCAGACTAACACTTTGGGAATTGGGACAGCCTAAAATGAAAAGATGGGATGCACAAAATGTGATGAAGGGAGTAAGTTAGTAACTTATATGGAAACTAGTAAATTACAACATGAAGCTAAACAGTAATGATTTAACTTAGTTTAAGCACGGTCTGACAATCCTGGGTTTTTATAGCAATTACCTTCCCACCAATCCGAAAGAGCTCAGCAAGATCATGGAACTGCCCATGAATGTCACCACATATAGTAACAGGGCTTTTCACAGGCTGCATCACAAACATCACAAACAAACAGCATGAAAATCATAATTACTAAATTGAACTTTTGAAAAAACATATCTGTCACCTATAAAGCAGGATTACCCCATGCTTGTATTAAAAAGGTTTTCAAAATGAAAATCACATAATAGCCACATTGTCGGTGTAAGTTATGTGTGAAGTATATTAGAATGAATGTAGGAATATGCTTTGGAATAATTAGGAATATTCTTTAGGATATTATTATGCTATAGAATCTTATAGGAATATTCTATCTTGTAATATATACTTATAGGGACTTCAACCCTTCAATAAATATACAGAATATCATTCTGTCCATCTTAAATATCATTCTAGTTTGTATTTCAACATGGTATCAGAGCATATCAGAACATTAGCCCAGAGGTATTAGCGTCTATGTACACATTTTCCCAGCTTTATCACTGTCCCAGAAACTTAGCCTTAACCATGGTATCCGGCAACCACTTGGCTCACCTTCGATCCCAGAAGTGCTGCCTTCCATCGGCGACTAAACCCATGAAGTCCGCAAGAGAAGGTCAACGCGCGTGACACTCACGCGCCGCTGGAAGTTTGTGCCGATCTCTGCAAGCGCCGGCGCGTGATGGCTTGTTGCTGGGTGGAATTTTCGTCGGAATGATCTTAATGAGCGAGTTACTTACTCATTTTTCTGCATTTCGTGCAGAAAAATGAGTGAATAACACCCGAACAGGAACATTAATCTGGGTTTTAATGGTACTTGGGATTTGGTAGACTTGCCTACAGGGAAGAAATCATTGGATATAAGTGTGGGTCTTTGTTGTTAAGGTTAATCCAAATGGATCTGTTACTCGGTTGAAAGCACCATTAGTTGCGAAGGGTTATGCTCAAACCGATGGTGTTCATTACTCTGATACTTTTTCTCCTGTTGCTAAATTAACATCTGTCATGTTACTTATTTCACTTGTTGCAACTCATGATTGGCACTTACATTAGTTGGACATAAAAAAAAATGTATTCTTGCATGGTGACCTTCAAGAAGAAGTTTATATCGAGCAACCTATGGGGTTTGTTGCTTGGGGGGAGTATGGTAAAGTTTGTCGACTTTGCAAGTCTCTTTATGTTCTGAAACAGAGTCCTCGTGCATGGTTTGGGAAATTCAGTCAATTAATTGAACAGTTTGGAATGATAAAAGGCAAATCAAATCACTCTGTCTTCTCTAGGAAAACGAAAGCAGGTGTCACATTGTCGATGATATTCACATTGCTTGTGTTATATGTCGATGATATTATGAATTTGTGATTACATCAAGTGATAATGCATGTATTTTGGCCCTTAAGAATTTTCTTCATAGCCGGTTCCAGACAAAAGATCTAGGCTCATTGAAATACTTCTTGGGTAGAAGTAGCACGAAGTAAGAAAGGCATGTTTTTATCTCAACGAGAAAATATGTACTTGATTTGCTAGCTCAAACAGGGGATTGGGATCAAAGCCTAGCAATACTCACATGGTTCCCAACGTGCAACTCACTCAAGAAGGCATTCCATTTGAAGACCTAGAAAGATATAGAAGATTGGTTGGAACGCTTAAATATCTCACAATCACTCGTCCATATATTGCTTACTCTATGAGTGTAGCGAGTCAATACATGTCATCTCCGACCATTGATCATTGGGCTGCTGTAGAACACATATTATTTTACCTAAAGGGAGGACCGGGACGAGGTATTATTTATCAAAACCACGACCACATGAGAATAGAATGTTTTGCATATGCTGACTAGGTTGGTTCTAAAGATGATCGGAGATATATATCTTGCTATTGCGTCTTTGTTGGTGGTAATCTAGTATCCTGGAAGAGTGGGAAACAAAGTGTGGTTTCTCATTCGAGTGCTGAATCAGAATATCAAGCTACGGCGCAATATGCATGTGAGATCATAAGGATACGCCATTTATTGAGTGAATTCAGATTGAAGACACGAAGCACTAAATGAAATTCGAGTTGATTATTTGTGTAACAAGTTGGAAATGATAAATATCTATGCTCCAAACCTCCAACTTGGGGGGTGTGAAGTATAATAGAATGAATGTAGGAATATGTTTCGGAATATTTAGGAATATTATTTAGGATATTATTATGTCATAGAATCTTATAGGAATATTGTATCGTGTAATATATATTTATAGGGACTTCAACCCTTCAATAAATATAGAGAAAATCATTCTCTCCATCTTCAATATCATTCTAGTTTGTATTTCAACATTATAGAACTCCAAATAGTAAAGAAGACATTAAAGTTAAAATGATCCAACTGGATCATAGAAATATTATGATTAATGACTTAAAAATTGTTTCAAGATAGTTGCAAAGAATATAAGAGCTTAATTTCATACCTGAACATTACTCTCCCCCATTAGTATCTCTTTAGCCTTTTCACATAATGCTCTAACCTAAATCCAAATAATGAGCAACATTAGCTCTACCATACCATTTCATGAGTAGAAAATAATACTAGAAAAATACTAAAACATAAAGCTCAAAATTAATTAATTAAAGTAAATTAAATTTGATTTCAAGGTGAAAGTCAACTGTACATGGAAGGTTGAATTTATTATTTGTATATCCCAACGTTGTGGATTTCAATTCAGTGCATTTAATCATATTCCAATATGGACGTTCTTATCCATGTAGAGGAAAATTGAATCTTTCATTTGAGAATTAAGACTTTAACTAAAAGTGAGATGATTAATAGGTTAAATACTAAAGTGTCATCATTTTATGCTTTTACCATATGTTTGCATAAGAGACATCAGCATTTATTGGCTTAGTCAATAACATTTCCAGTTTTTTAACATCACATTTATTGAATTCTGTTTTTTTCAATCTGAGTTTCAAATTCTTAGTTGTCAATGCTCTATGTATACGTAGCAGTTTCTCATCTAGGTTTTTTTGTGGGAGAAGCTGGCAGTGCACACTCTAAGAATGGCATGGCATGCTGTGAGTCTACTTCTTCAGTTACTTGATATATAAACATAGCACTAGCATGAGTGGATTGGATTTTCCTCAACCATCCAACAACTGGGTAACAGTAGTTTCTCTTTTTTGCAGTTCCTCCTAATTCTTCTACATTGTAGTCTGCTGAACCCTTTACTTGCTTACATCGTTATTCACCTTAACACAATTAAGTCGGATTGCTTTTTAAATCTGAGATTCCACTCCAAGTGTTGAAAGTCATTCATTATACATAACCTAACGAATAAGGAGTTTTTTCTAGATAACGTTACGAATAAAGCCAAAGATCCGAACTTTTGAATTTAGGTACAACGTCTTTCACATACAATTATGCTAGCCTCACAACAACCAAAGGGATGGTGGGAAATATGATAATAATATAATAATAAACACAATTCCCAAATTGAAAGGCAGATCCACAAGAAATATACAGTGCCAAGGAGAACAGCAAAATGAAAGCAGAAGATTAACCTCCGACTCGGATAAGGGCTTGCACTGCATAAGCTGAGATATCTGTTCATCCAGGTTTCCATGCGTGCTCGGCGACACCAGATCCGTACTCATTTTCTGCTCCCTCCGAGAAAAAATATCAATTAATCCCTAACAAAATCTTTCTCAAGCCCAATCCCTAGTAGTGGATTACAATTCTGAGATGGGATGGCCCACAGGGGATGAGGCTGAGAAGAAGACAGCCACGAGAGTGCTGCGAGCAAGGGACAAGAATGGTGAAATCGAAGAGCGGGCGGGGCAACAGAGAACCATAGAATTTTGTGGATCTACTAATTTATGGAACTCGCTTACTCCAACGTTAAAGTGGAAAACTATTACTGCTTAAATTTTGTTACTCCTTCCGTTGGATCATGATGATTTTTCCGGTCCACTTTGACCATCCATAATTGGGTTTTTTTGAAGAGAAAATTGCTTCTCATCTCATAAGACTAAATGATAGAGTTTACAAAATTAGAACATGGTTATGTTTTTTCCATACGTATGATTTATTTGGTTGTAATTTAGGAAACCTTATTTTTACTTTCCAATTTTACCCTTCACTCCAGTACTCCATCTTAAAAATTAAAAATACGAAGCGACATCGCAACTCTCTGGTTTCAATCTCGCATGCCTCATCGATGATATAGCCACACTCATCAGTACTAAAGTGTTGCTCGACGGATCAGGAAGCTTGAAATTGACATGGTCTCGCCGGATACATCGGCAACATTCCGGCAGATCTTGGCTCCAGAGTCTACCTTTGCAGAATCGACATCTAGGCTCCACCGACACTCTGATTTTTCGAAAACCAAATTGAAGCCCTCTAACTTTCGAGGAGCACCGTAAATGGCCGCTGCAATCACACGATGAGAGTTCGCCATTAATATGCACACACCCTAGCTAGAGTTGTGACATTCATTGTTCTGCCAATTGATATTTTGATCGACAATGGCCTACGGCTTCTCATCCCAAAGTTTCTCGATGGCCTCTTGAGGTAATTTTATCATTGTAAACAGTGAATGGTAGTTAGATATTGTGTTTTACATTACCTGGTCTGCTATTATACTATAATTCGAATTTATTGTGTATTTATTGACTACTTATTGTCTACGTATTGTCTGTTGTTTTCCAAGTTTGATTTTGACCATACGTGCTCTCTTAATATCAGAGAAGCCCCCCCCCCCCCCCCCCCTTCCCAAATGAAGCTACAATAGATATAGTTGTTGATATCATCAAACACATATATGAAAATGCACACACAAAATTGTATGCTCCTAATGACATTTTATTATGTTATTTCAACACTACATTCACTTTGTACTTACTTGTAATGTTGTTATGCTATTTTAGGTTAAGCGTGCTACTCAATTTGAGTTTCACATGCTGGACAAAACATCTCGAAGTTTTATTGTTAATATCAAAGAAAAGACTTGATCATGTTGTGAGTTTCAACTGGATACGTTGTCATGGTGTTGCTAATGTGGGTCAACGTCGAGGACTATCATGTTATGATTACATCTTCAATATTGGTTCTCACTTTTGAATCAGACCTTTTGATTATATGTTGTCTACAACGTGCAATCCACCTACATGTCTTACACGTCAACTCGATAGACATAAAAAGAAGTGTGTTACCTTCAGCTGGAGGCTTTGTTTCTTGACAACGACAATGATGTTCACGTTGTAAAAAAGATGGGCAGAATAAGAAGCGTTGTATAGGAATCGTATTCGAGTCCATAGTTCTTAAATTCATAATGTCCTATCTCTTTCATTTTATTTAATCTAATAAGTGTTGTAGACCTTAAGTTTTGTTTTGCTCACAAATAATAATTACCATGTTTTGTTAGAAATGGAGCTTATGCTAGTTGTTGTCATCCTCCTTTAGAGTGTCATAGTGATATTCACCGAACCACAAGGTGTAGCTAGAATATTTGTAATTATGAATAGTTTTAATAAATTTGAAGCACAAATATTATTAAATATGACATTGAACACACTAAATTGGATGGATAAAAAGATGTAAGTTAATTTATATAAATATTGAAAACCCATCTATCCAACAACAAAAATCCATACCACCCCTCTGAACTCCTAAAAGTTCATACTGGCCCCTCACTCTCTGATCAGGCATAAAATAGTCCACCGTAAAAAGAGCGAGACTAATCGTTGAATTCTCATATATTCCACTACTTAAATAAGTTCTAAAATATTCTAATATCTATAAATATGGTTTGATTTCATTAATTTGTTCTGATTTATCCGGTTTTACTTAAGGTGAAAATAAATACGAATAAACAAGTCCTTACTCTTTAGGATACTTTGGAGACCAAGGGTTTCAGACTGAATCGAAGCAAGACTGTGCATATTGAGTGCAAGTTTGGTGGATGTTGAAGTAGTAGTAACAGTGGGATTACCCTTAATGGCAAGGAGATATCAGTGTGTGATATGTTCCGTTACTTGGGCTCTACTATAATTTAGGAGGATGGTGAACTAGATGAAGATGTATCGCATAGAATCAGAGCAGGATGGATGAAGTGGAAGAGTGCATCGGGATTTCTATGTGATCGAGATCTACCAACTAGAATGAAAGTTAAATTTTATCGGACAGCAATTAGGCATGCACTAATGTATGACGTAGAGCGTTAGGCGGGAAACAATATCACATTCAAAAGATGAGTGTGGCAGAGATGTGTATGTTACGTTGGATGTGTGGACATACCGGAAAAGACCGTTTGAGGAATGAGATAATCAGAAAAAGGTGGGCGTAACACCTATGGAAGATAAGATGCAAGAATCTCGATTACGGCGGTTTGGTCATGTGCACAGAAGACCGAGTGAAACACCTGTTAGACGATTTGAGAGGTGAGGAGAGGAGGCAAGTGGGAGGAAGAGGGAAAGACCCAAAGAGACTTTGGAGAGAGCAAAGTGGAGGGCAGAGCCAGTTTTCAACATGTTCTCTAGAACACGGCCCCCCATATATGGGGGCCCCATTTTTTCAATATTAGTATTATAAATATTAATAATAATAATAATAATAATAATATAAATAAATAAAATGAGTATAAATCGGCAAGTGGGCAACCAGTCTAGGAGTTATTCGTTAAAAAAGAGACGTGGAACGATCGACACCTCGTTTCTAGCAGGCGTAGCAATTTCCCGCTAATCACACATATGACCAATAGCTATTTCAATTTTCAAATAATCAAATTCAATTGTCGTGGGATTGGAAATCGGTTCATACTCTGCAGCTAGCGGCTCTGGGGTCCCGACTCTACCTCTCCTACTCTCCAGGCTCTCATCTCTGGTGCTCTGTTCTCGCAATCTGTCTTAAAGTTTGTACCTTTTTCTCACTTTTCTCGCAATCTTGCCTATTTACCTCAAGCTTTAATCGCATGTTGCCATGTTCACTTCAGGTTCTTACTTTTGACCTTCTTTTCACATTTGTTATTGACATTGTTAATTTGCTAATTGCTAATCTGTATTTGTTAATTTCAGAAATAAAAAATTCAGCTTTTGTTATTTTTAATTTTGTTGAACTTTGTGAGTTTTTTATGATTTGTGATTTTAATTCTTATGTGGGCCCTATTTTGGTATTTAGAACAGGGCCTCTAAATTTATTAGACGGCTCTAGTGGAGGCTGCATAAACGTGTGGACGATTAATCTCTTCTCTCCCTTTATCTCTTTTATCCTTTATCTATCTTAGATTAATTTGTTATTTTTATCTTATCCATCTTATCTTACCTATTCCTTTTATTTTCCTTATGTTTCTTCTCTGTTTGGCACTGATATCATGGATCAATTAATGTTAGCTGACCCCAAAATCTTTTGGGAATAAGGCTTGAATGTTGTTGTTATTGATCTCCTCCGGTCAAATCAAATCCGTCTAAGTCTAGTATGATAGATGTATGCTCTATGTGTCTTTTTACAAGTGTTGAAGTCTGGTATAGTATGATCTGAACTGGTTTGTTCTGATCCGATTTGTTTAAGTTTCATGTGATCTAATTTGAGACTGAAACCAACTCACTTAAAAACATATCATTATTTTTTAATATAAATGGGATGAGTATGGCACATGTCATTTTGACACGTCTTTTGTTATTCGAAAATAAAACGTTCGCTTTATCATTTTAGTTTTACTTACTTTTAACGAGACTATCGCGCTTGAGTTTATTTTATACTCCCTCCGTATCAAATTAATTGACCCGTTTCTTTTTCACGCAGTTTAAGACAATTACTGTAGACTTTATTAAAAGTAAGAAGTTTTTGGTACTGTAGCGACACTGTAGCGGTACTGTAGCAGTACTGTAGCTGCTTTTTGAGTGGGATTCTTTCCAAAAAGGGAAATGGGTCAATTAAATTGATACACCAAAAAAGGAAAGTGGGTCAATTAATTTGATACGGAGGGAGTACTACGTAACAAAAATGTAACTCTTATATCTCAAACTCTTTATTCTGTTTCTATCTTTTCAATCCATTTATACTTAATCTTCCTAAATGAATGCATTCAAATATAGGTCTATTTTTTTTTTAGAAAATTTGCAATATTATTCACTTCATATTAAACAGGTCTACCCGACCCAATTCCGAAACCCTTTGGGTCCAAATCTAGAACAATGATTTCAGACTCACCAGGTATGTGGATCGAGTTGGAACAAAAAAAAGTTAGCAAATCCGGATCTGGAACACTATGTTCCATTCCAGACTACGCATGGACTTGGTCCGGTCCCGGTTCCAGGACGAGACAACACGGTCCTTGGCGTTTTTGGATGAAGCCCCGATCTGACCTGGTTATTTCAGAGTTTGGGCTGGCTCTGTGTATTCAATTGATCGGGTCCTGGTTCTGGACCCACTCCATTTATACTTTTTAAAATTTTGCCAAGTACCAAGGCTGTACCCAAATCTATGAACCGGGACCAGGTAGCCCTCTTGGGCGGACAGGGTACGTCCTTGGCCCGAAACTGGAAAACGGACCCGGTCTAGGCCCAAACAACGCCGGACCCGGTTCCGGACCGGGCTAGACCGCCAGACCAGATCCATGCCTATTCCAGACCCAACTTCATCATTTTTCATGCCCCCACCAAACACATATTGCTTAATGTTTTACAAACTATGTGCTTCTAAAGTCATCGAGTCGTTAAACCATTGAGGATGTTTTCTTTTGGACTGAATTTGTTGGTCTGGTCTGATCTAGTCTGGTAAACGTCTAGTCTTTGTGTATTTTATAAGGGAAAAGGTACATATATACCCCTGTAATATAGGTGGGGGAACAAATACACCCCTAATCTATTTTTCGGAACAAATAAACCCCTGAACTTTTAAAAAGGTGCAAAAATATCCCTCATTTTTTATAAAGGTGCAATTTAATCCTTACTGACTTTAAATTA